GGGTTAGGGTTAGGGTTAGGGAGTAGGCGTAGGCGAGTCCCTAGACTCGTTAGTGCATGGAGTAGGCGAGGTACGGTCCGGCATATTAGATAGTACCAGGGTACGTTCCGATATATCGAACCGTACCAGGGTACCCTCTGATAGTACCCTGGGGGACATAGACCCTCTCAGCTATAGTATGATTCTGGTACTCACAAGTGTTCAGCTGAGAAAACCCATTTCATTCCATTAAGATTATGAATATAGAACCAAGACCCATTCTCTTGTAACAGTGCCAAGTGAGCATATAGTAAAACACAAGTTGTGATGGGATTATATCAATTGTTTACATAAATGAGTTGATCCTTATATAAGCATTTGATGATTTCAGCATTAATAAGTATTCACTTCTATCACTGTGTCCTACTAAGTGATTCCCTGTTGACAACTATTAGTTTGATCTCCTTATCTTATGTGTCACATTGTTGGGAGGGCATAATTCATGTTTATATCCGTGAATACGGTATGTTCCATAGAATATAGATGTTGTCCCTGCCTGGCCTTCCTGCAAGACTTCACCCGGGGTGACTGAACACACAGCTAGCATGAGAAAGCAGACAGCCACCAGTGCAACTAAATACACAGCTACTAGCCAGACGAAGCGGCGTAGCTCGAATAAAAAGAGTTCAGCACCGATTCAAGATTCTGCACAAACCATAACACCCAACGAATACACTTAATTGCCGTGAGATATCCATAGCAAGTTGTTACAAAACTAACGTCACTACAGCTATCGGACGTGCAACCTGTACAACATAGGGGGCCTACATACAGAAAGCTCCTGGGTGATACTCCATTAGGAGTGTTCCCAACTTTATTGTCATGTATTTTATGTTATATATATATATATATGGTCATGGTCATATATTAGTTTGTGGTTTGTGGTTGGGTTAGGGTTATGGTTAGGATTATCAATCATTAATCATTAATGATATCAAAGTTGGGAACACTCCTAATGGAGCGTTAGCCAAGCTTATCTAACAGCTCATGGTCGACGTCAGCTGCTGTGAGTTGCACAAGTTACACAGTTCAGATCTGGTTGTTTTTAGAATGAACGTTGGCAGCTAATGTAATATTTACGAAAAGAAAATATACAGATGCAATGCTGATCACATTAGCTACAATATAATATATCGTTCGGTAGGAACCACATGGTATCACAATGTAGTGTGTGACACGATTATACATTGCTCATTATCACTATAACCTGCTAGATCTAACATAGACAGGGATGGAGAGAAGTGTTTATGTCATAGTGTATAAAGTCCACTCCGTATCTCATATTTGTATGAAGCAGAATAGCTTTTATATCTATTAAACTTTTGTAATTTGTTAGAAAAGTGACATTTGTTTTCATTGGTTTACATTTATTTAATATATTCCTTCGATAAGCAGAAAATTGTGATTTTACTGCAAAATAAACCACCAATGTTTAAACCCAAATATCTAGCTACCACAAACACTTTGTAGAGAAAGAAAACAGACATTTTTAGCCACCACAATGAGATTGTGGATCCAAGTGTACATGAAAATCACGTATTTTGTAAATACCATTGCAAAGGTAGAAATTGTTTTTCATTGTTTCTAGACAGGTGGATGGGTGGAAACGCCAGTCTGCCACAAATACATAAAAGATATGTTGTTGTTAGATGTTTGTGCTTGATGTGGAGTTGTCCTGCAATATCATAGATATAGAATATAGAGTACTGTATTCTATAGACCAGTCTTAAATATTATTCATGACCTGGGGTCATCGCACGAAAACGAGGCTAAGCTAGGCAATTTTGTAAACAATGGCTGCTCCGGCAGGCACGCACAGAGGGGGTACACGCATGTACACGCGGGTACACGCAGATACATGCACGTACACGTACACGCGGTTACACGGAGATACACGCACGTATATGCGGGTACACACACGTACACGCGGGTACACGCAGGTACACACAGGTACACACAGTTACACGTGGGTACACGCAGATACACGATACGTACACGCACGTACACGCATGTGCACGCGTGTACACGCACGTACACGCGTGGTACGTGGTGTTATGCTGCGTGTACGTGCGGTGTACCTGCGTGGCGTGATACCAGCGTGCACGTGCGGTTCTAGCCCGTGTGCACGGCGTGTCATCTGCTGTGTACGTGTACGTGGTATCTGCCGTTGTACGTGCGCTGTATCTCCGTGTTACGTGCGTGTATCTCCGTGTACGTGTGTGTATCTGCGTGTACGTGCGTGTATCTCCGTGTACCCGCGTGTATCTGCGTGTACGTGCGTGTACCCGCGTGTACGTGTGTGTATCTCCGTGTACACGCTCTGTGCGTGCCTGCCTGAGCAGCCATTGTTTACAAAATTGCCTAACTTAGCCTCGTTTTCGTACGATGACCCCCCAGGTCATGAATAATATTTAAGACTGGTCTATATCTATGGTAATATTGATCTTTCACCATCAAACATCATAACTGATCAAAATGCCACGTTAGTGTTGCATCCTCAAACACAACAACTTATTGAGATGCCAGGAAGGAGTTTTTTGTTAGTGTATATGTAGACAATAAACCGCCATATCCGCCATGAATAAAAAAAAGATCCACAAGATCTGATGTATAGAAGCAACTGTGGCTAGGTGGTGTGGGAGGGCTGTTGAGTAAATATACAAATTTTTGGTGCATAAATGTATATAGAAATGCAACAGACGACATCGAGGCACACAAGTCCTGTGAAATATTCTTGATAAAAAAAGATCATTTACAAACACTAACACATATATTTGCGACTAACCAATTTACATGCTATACTATTTGCACAGGCAGCAGACAAAAACTTATTGACGTTCAACGAAAGTCTTGATTAAATGCAGGTACCATGTATTCCTCTCTTCCCTTGCAGTCAGTTATTTACATATTATTGCCACAAAGCTTGTGACTATTGCTAACTACAAGCTAGCAAGTTTGTTAAATCATGATTTCCAACAATCTTGAAGGTCAGGAACGATCTGTTGTTGTTTCTATGTGGAGTAGGTGAGCTACATGACTCATCAATCGTCCTGTCTTCCTATCAGGTTGTTGACGTAAGGGTTTTTGGCTGCAACCACTTGTTCCCTCAACCTCTCGATGTGCGCTGCGGCATCCTCCTGGCTCATCCCATCTAGTGGAAGATCTCTGACTTCCGCAAGAAATTTCCGGATCAGTTCTTCTCCATCCTGCATTGAAATGAGCCCACACTGTCAGTTCCTACACAAGCATCGTCTACACGAGGAACTTTGTCTCGGGTTAAGCGTCTATACGAGGTCTTAACTCGGGTTAGCTTAACCCCGGCGATGAGGGGGGGGGAGTGAGCTAACACGGGTTAAGCTTAACCAGAGTTATGACTCGTGTAGATGCGGGTGAAATCGTTAACGGTTAGCGTTAAGTTAAGCGGTAGTTATCAGTAGACTGAATAGACGTTACTCGTTACATGTGTGGGTACCGCAATCTGAATCAACCCCACCTCCTGGGTTAGCTTAACTTGGGTTAAGGCGACTCCGTGTAGGCGAGGCTACAGCTGCATTCGAAGCCAGATCTTACTACATATTGTGGCTCATTTGCCTTGGCTGTACACCTTGTTTAGGAAGCCTTCAGCAGCTGAACATGCATACCTGTGTGGCAAACCTTCAGTGCAGCTGAACATGCTTACCGTGTGTGGCAACCATTCAGCGCTGAACGCTTAGCTGGTGTGGCAACTTCAGCAGCTGAACAATGCTTAGCTGTGTGGACCTTCAGCAGCTGAACATGCTTAGCTGTGTGACAAACCTTCAGCAGCTGAACATGCTTAGCTGTGTGGGGCCAAAAACCTTCAGCCAGCTGACTATGCTTACGTTTGACAAACCTTCAGAGCTGATACCATAGCTTAGCCTGTGTGGCCAAACCTTCAGCAGCTTGACCACATCCTTACCTGTCGATGGCAAGCTATTGCCTGAATCATGCTTAGACTGTGTGCAAACCTTCAGCAGTTGAACATCCTCTACCTGTCGTGGCAAACCTTCAGCAGCTGATACATGCTTACCTTTGGCAAACTTCAGGGCAAACGATTCATGCTTACCCGGCGTGGCAAACCTTCAGCAGCTGAACATCCTTACCTGTGTGGCAAACCTTCAGCAGCTGAACATCCTTACCCGCGTGGCAAGCCTTCAGCAACTGACCATGCTTACCTGTGTAACAAACCTTAGGTGGTTGAACACAGTCATCTGTTTGACAAGCCTCAGGTGGCTGAACATGCTTACCTGCTTGGCAAGTCTGCGCTTCTTTGCTGGAGATGATCCCTCTTCCGTCGACATCTCTGTTATGCCATGCGTGCTGACTGTATGAAAGTCTTCCAGCTCATTTGCTTTCTTCCTTGCAAACTTTGAAACACAAAAAAGCGATGTAATTATGTCGCTATAGTTAGGAAGAAGAGAGGAACGTGACCGATAGCATTAATTACTCTAGCCGATCGGAGAAAGGAGAGAAGAACGTGAGCAAGAGTGAGTGTGTAAAAAGAAAAGAAAAAAACAAAAAGGGCACACCTCCACGACGCTCTTCGGAAAGTGGGCGAGCTCGGCCACGTGGATTCCGAAGCTCTGATCGCAGACGCCTGGCCGGACGCGGTAGAGCAGCGTGAGCGTGTCGTCACTCGTAAGCGCTGTCACGTGAAGGTTGCTCACGCTCGCCACTTCGTCCGCGAGCGCGGTCAACTCGTGGAAGTGCGTAGCGAACAGCGTGTATGCGTTCACGTTCTTCGCAATGTGCCTAGATAGGGAAAGCACGTTCACTCGAGGCGTTAGGAACCTACTCGGGGGGAACGCTGTCGAGTTTCAGCTGCGTGTCTAAGCAATATTTTAAGAGACCACGTTTTCGACCACACTACCTTGCTGGGCTAGAGTTATTATTACCACTCATGAATGCTATAAAATTCGTTTGGATCTAGTCAGTTCTTAACACGCACGCACGCAATCACGCAATCACGTGCCTGGTTTGTGAAGTCTGTATATTAGTTATTACCCTTGGCCCAGCATGTAAAAGCAACCAATAGGCCAACTACTAACTAGGGACTAATAGCATTTGCATTTGTAACATAATATTACAATTAACATATATTGTGTTACTAATACTCACTCTGAGATGGCCCAGGCTAAGCCGAAGCCATCGTACGTAGACGTACCGCGTCCCAACTCGTCAATGATGAGCAGTGAATCACTAGTCGCGCACTAAACACAACATAAAAATATTATATATAATATTACGTGTATAGACGTAACATTAATGTATATCATATCATTATTTCACGATATACGAGTACAACGAGACAAACGTGTAAATTTATGCCCCACAGCGCACGTGCCCACCAGCGCCTCACAGCGCACGCACCCACCAACGCTCCACAGCACAGGCACCCACCCATGCCCCACAGCATGCGCACTCACTCACACTCCACAGCACATGCATCCACCAACGACCCACAGCACACACATCCACCCACGCCCCACATCGCACGCACCCACCAACGCCTCACAGCGCACGCACCCACCCATGCCCCACATCGCACGCACCCACCAACGCCCAACATCGCACGCGCCCACTCACGCCCCACAGCACACACACCCACCTATGCCCCACAGTGTCCGCACCCACCCATGCCCCACAGCACACGCACCCATGCACCCACACCCCACAGCACACACATCCACCCACACCCCACAGCACACACATCCACCCATGCCTCACAAAGTGCGCCCTCCCCCCCCACCCACGCCCCACAGTGTGCGCACCCTGAGTATGGCTGCAGTTTCCAGCATTTCTGACATGAAGGTCGACACGCCCTTGAGCTGGCTGTCGCCGGCGCCGACGCGTGCCATGATGGCGTCAACAATGGAGATTTGCGCGGAGGTGCACGGCACGAAGCAGCCGAGCTGCGCCATCAGCACGATGGCGCCCACACTGCGGATGTACGTCGACTTTCCACCCATGTTCGGTCCCGTGATGATGTGAAACATGTGACCATCTGAAACGGGAGCAACGTCCGGTGGATCACGGATAAGTGCTTGAGTAATGAAAGCAGATGAAAGGCGGTAAATTGAAACATCATGATCATGTTACAAACATACATTAGCTGATCAGCAATGAGAAAATTGTGTAATGCTGAACTTGCCTTTGTGAAACTCGACACGGTTTGGAATGAAGGCTACGCCATCTTGCATTTCCAAGCAGGGATGCCTAGCCTCTTCCAGAAGGAGAATACCTGAGCCTGCAATTTTACATGATAAATGTACATTCTCAATGCTAGAAACCTTTTAGAGAATAGAAAATAGCTCTGAAAAACTACCACTCTTTCCACCACACGTTGCACAGTGCGAACGTAACATTACTCCAGTCTTAGCCCCTCACTGATTCTGTATCAGATGTATCTTTTTACATAGCTCAGCCTGCACTATATAACTCAACGAGATTCAATTAGCCAATAATACCAAAGTGGATGATTTATAACGCCGTGACGTGATTTATGCATGAAAACATCCAATTTTATCACGAGATAACTGATAATGCATGTAGACAGAGATGCCAACACATATTTGAAGCAATCTGTAGTTTCTGGCCATCAAATTAGTAGTTCGAAGGTCACGTAGTGAACCGAGTTTGCTAGGGGGGTCCGGCATGCCCCCAGAAAATTTTTTGATTCTGAGATGCGATTTCCTGCATTCTGGGGGTTAAAAATGACAATAAATTGTCAAAAAATGACAATAATTGACAAAAAAAATTTTTTCTATCACAGTGAAATTCGTAGTTTGATACAAACTGGTCGTAGTGGTGCAAAAGGAATAGAAATTCGTATAAAATACGGATAAATCGTAGTGGTTGGCATCTCTGATGTAGATATATTCTGAGAAGCTGGATAAGCACTTTACTTCAAAATGCATGAATTCTTATGGAATATAAGCAGCTAAGCTTCAATGAAAAGTCTGTAAAGTTGCGTTTGAATACGGCTCTACATTCTTCTCTACCGTCTTCTAGCAAATCATTAATGCAGGAATAAACAGAGCAATAACACTTAAAATACATCACTCTCCAAACTAGTTAGTTAGGCTGTAAGCAAGTGGCTGTGAATGTGTTTGCTTTTAAGCCAGGGTTTGAAGGTTACAGCACTTATCCAGGTAAGCACCTATCTGCCAAAAGCCGAAACAGCCAAACCAGTAGGTGACCAGAGTTCAACACAAACTTTCATGGATCACAGGGGCGCTACAAGGACCCACACTCGGCAGGGTGAGAAATTAACGGGAGTCCGGAGTCAAATACTCCCGATTTACTGTCGGACTCCCTGATTTGACACATGCAGGAGTCCGTGCGACTCCCTGAAAATTCTGCTATACTAACTAGTTCGTTCCAGAGCACTGACGGCCTCGCGGAATTACCGTATTTTTTCAGCAAATGTCCAAAGAAAATTTGGCAGATGTGCACTGCATGAATCTTCAAGATAAGCACATGCGTTATCCCGTTGTTATGCTTTAGTTTTGAACTTCATACTGCAGACTCCCTCTTTTAGACGGCAGGGAGTCCGTTGGACTCCCTTGTTCAAAAGTTAATTTCTACCCCCGCACGATGCAGCGGCCGCGCAGTGTAGATTACAGGGGGCGCTACGTTTAGCAGACAAACCTTTTTCCAGCATGTTAGGTCGAACATAGGGCAGCGGTGCGGCAGTGGCAGCGTGAGCGAAGCTCGTCAGCACATCAAGCTCCGAGACGATGTTACTGAGCATGAGCATGGGTTCTGCATATCCAGCTGTAACAACAACACACGCACATCACTGACGAAAAAATCCTCACTGCGTTGGATGTATTCTATGCACCTGTATCGTATTGTACTGTATGTATATATTATTTTGTTGTTGCAAACATTATGTTTTCATTTTGATTCTCAGCTTTTACAAGCTATTGCCGTATTGAGATCAACTAAGCTAACCAGAGTTTGCCCTCACTTATAAACCCATCAGGAAATAATGGTGCATGTAGGGGGCGCCAGGTACCTGCGATGTTAATGATCTCAGCAACGAGTGTTTTTTGCTGATCACTGTAGTCGCCCTTCGCTGACATGTATTCGTCATTCAGCCGCCTGAGGGCGCTACTGTTGAAACGTACACCGCTGGTCTTGGCATCGATGGTTGAGTAATTTCTATTGTTGCGCAAAACTTTCTCGTCCTAGGTTTCGATAAATAATTCATACGTACTCCGAAATTCAATACATTTTACAGCTAGAATGAGAAATCGCTATAGTATTCCTTCGTGTAGATGTGTAGCAATCAATTAATTATAAATAGGAAATTCAATTTTATGAGATGCCTGAAAACAAATTTTCTCTCAAAACAATTACTATTCTTTCTGCCCTTAACAAAATTGTAAAACTCCACAGGATGAATTAGTAATGAGAATTACTTAGTCAGCATTTTGTAATACCTTTCTGGTTACTCTGAAGAAATAGCCAATCTGGGCATTGGATTCCAGTTTGATAGTCTTGTTAGCTTCTAGTCCAAGATCTCTGGCAGCCTGCAGCAGAGATGATCACCCATTTTAAGTGAAGATGAAGCACGCATTGAGTGACAAACGTTTATTCAACACTACTGATACGGCACGAGATTGTCCCCTCATGAAACTCCATGAAATGATACACATCTTCCAGCAGACATTTCCTACTCATTTAGACCTTACAATGCAACCTATTCTCTGCCATTCTTAAAACTGAACCTCATACTTCCATCTTTCTTCCCCTATCTTCGTCCCTGCTATAATAGTTGGTACATTGCATGGAGTGCCAAGTGGTCTTCTATCACCCCACAGCCAGTACCAAAAAGAATAATGGGGAGGCAATTTATGACGATGGCACCATGCTATATGAAATACTACCCCATCCCTAAAATATTTCATTTTTATTAGCTGAGCGTGAGACCTTTTTTAGCTGCGACTTGATATCGGCTTCCAACTCGTCCATCTTCTCTCGGAGTGCCTGCAGATTCTCATCAAAGTCTGGCTTGATGAGGTACTCGTGGTTCTCAACCTGTCCCAGGTCCAGAGTGCTCTCAACCATTTCTTGAAACTTTGCAAAGTCCATGAGTAGCTCCTACGAGATAAACCAGCACACGGGTATTATACTCATGTATGTACAGCCACGCTGTTCCATCGCACTAATACACACATGAACTTTCACAGTGCTGTTCACATCTGTCGTAGCATTTCTCTGGTATATATTAGATAAAGAATCGAGTACTGACATAGCCTGTATATACACCATGAAATATTCTATAGTATTAGGCCACACTTACAATATCTCTTATTTACCATAACCTGGGCAACCTATCAAAATCTTTCTTTTAGCTATTTATTGAACATGTAGGTGCACGAGATGATTGTATGCATGAAGCTAGTTAGAATTTCACCCTTACACTTACTGCCATGCCGAGTTATGTAATAGCAAATATCAAGGCTTACAGGTTGGACATAACCGAGGTATTTATAACTTTGTACCGTGAGGGGATTATTGAAGTGGGCCATTAGGAGACTCCGGTGTTTACCGCTGTGCTTTTCAATTGTCTCCAATAGATGGGGTAGCTTTTCCAAGCCCTGGTAAACCTTGTAGCAGTCCTGGCAATGTGAAACCACTTATTGAATCAGCAAAGTATGGACATGCAATTGCCAAATTTTCTATTTAACATCTTAATGAAGCTGACAGAAAGGCAATGGATAATCTATGGAAGTTAAAGAGAAGAGAGATAGAAAATAGGCAGCGAGAGAGCTAGATACAGATAGATAAAGAGACATGGATGAATTAACAGTGAGAGACAGTTGATAATGGCAAGTTCAGCTATCAATGGTTGTACTTGTAGGTTGGCATTCTTGCGCTGGAATCGCTTGGCCAGCCTCTGAAAGTCAGGAACCTTGCGCAGATGGTCCTGTTCCAATATCTGCCTTAGCTCAGTGTCCTCCACCAATGTCTCAACAACGTTCAGACGTTCCTCTGCAAAACAAAACAGGCAAAAGCTGATACTATCCCTTCATAGACACGGTGGCTGGCACACTACTTTAATCTTAGTGGCTGTCAAATTTATGCACATACCTTTGCTTACCTCATAGCTTCACAAATTTAAACCACGACTCACCTATGCGGTTGAGATCTACAAGAGGCTGTTTCACCCACTGTGCGAGTAACCGGTGGCCAGCAGCAGTCTTGCAGTGGTCCAGTAGTCCAAAAATACTCTGATATTTATTTCCCCCTGTGAGGCATAATGACACAAATCTATGACTCTTGACAAACATGTGCACCACCAGTCCGAAGAACACAACCGTACATGTACGCGCACAATAAAGTGCCAGACATTTTTAATATCAAGACGATTAGGATTGATTAAATATGGATATGTTAAAATTGTGAATGGGAGGTCCACATGAATTACAAGGGCCAGAGGTAGTTTCTAAGTGAGATAGCACTAAAAAATAACAATTCACTAGTCGCTAGTTGACGTCACGGATTGAAAAGATAATAGATAAAGACACATATAGACATTACTTCTGCAGTTAGGTATAACATATTGATTAAAGCATAGAAATTTTAAGTGACAGTTGCAGATCATTTAAACTACACGTGTAAAAATTTGCAAAATGTAAAATTAAGCACAATTATCTAACAAATCTACTCACCCTGTCCAGGCACAGGTAACAGGTTGACAGCATTCACTGCAGCAGAGTCCAACCGCATGTACTGGCTGAGATCAAACGTCTCTATGCTAAAGACACCAAAGTTGGCCTCGTCCTGTAGAAGCTCCATGTACTTGATCAATGCAGCGACTGAGCACATTGCTGTCTGCTTGTCCATTTGCGCTGAAGAGTTACGCCAGAGAATATTAATAAACCCCTATAATCGCCATATTACACAGGAAGCATCACTATCACAATGGACTGTAACAACCTCCATTTTAAAGCAGCACTGTACACTACTGCCTTATACTAGATCTGTCATTCTCCAGTATCCTGCACAACTCACTGCCACTGATTGACAAATTCACAAGTACATACCAGCTAGTATGTGTTTACATTGCAGAATTGTATATAGTTCTAAAATGCTATCACCGAATAATGCTACTTGTGTAGCTTGTATAAGCTAAGGTACTATTGAAAATATGGCATAATCCTTGAATAAAAGAAATTCACACACGAATACATCATGGAACCCCTATCAGTGTTTCCCCTGGCCTAAAAGGTCTGTGAGATAAAAAAAAAATTTTGGTGTGTTTGTGCGTTTCGAGGTCCTAGCAAAGCGAGCACTGCAAGTAGCTAGGGGGGTATGGGGGCATGCCCCCTAGAATTTTTTTGAAAAAATGGTGCAATTTGGTGCATTCTGAGCTATTTTGGTGCATTATAAGCACTGTTCTATGAAACAACATTGATTTTTGTCAGCAAGGCGGTGTTTTGGGCAAATTTCTGTGCGGCGGCTGAGAATTTGAACGAGGTGGCCCGCCTCGCTCGTGTCATTGCAGGGGAAACACCGACTATAGTTTTCGTAGGACTGATAACTTACGGAGGGCAGCGCTGTTTGGTTGCTCTCCCTTCTTGAACCGAAGCAAACGATTGAGATCCTGGATGTTGTCTTTGTTGTTAAACTCACCTGTAACATGGTTCATTAAGAGCATAACTGCAGTTTTTGAAAACACATTTATTTACATCCTTACCTTCAAGAGTTTATTAGTTTCATATCTTACTAGTACTACGCATACATATAACTCACATACACATAAAACACTACACAACCCAGATAGCATGCTTACGTTGGGCCAACGTTGGCATTTGGTTGGCACGGTCACGGTTGGCAATATGACGGCCCAACGGTGGGCCGACCGTTGGCCCAACGTTGGCCCAACGGCAGTCAGCCAACGTTGGCCCAACCGTCATATTGCCAACGTGCCCAACTTCATCAATTGCCAACGTGGCTGAACGTCCAGAACAGCCAACGTTGATCCAACGGCTTTTTGCTCAGCGTGCCAACGTTGCACCAACGGTCATATTGCCAACGTTTGGCCCAACTTCCCATTTTGCGACCACGACGTTGGCCCAACGGATTTTGCTCGGCGGGTCTCAACGTTGGCTCCAATGTCAACATTGCAACGTTGCCCAACTCTGACAGCCACATTGGCCCACGCCTGACAGCCAAACGTTGGCCCAACGTCTGACAGCCAACATTGGCCCCAACGGCCTGATCAGCCAACGTTGGCCAACTCTGACAGCCCAACATTGGCCCAACCCTGACAGCCAACTGTTGGCCCAACGGCTTTTTGCTCACGTCCACGTCGATTTCCCCCTCAAAACACTCCTCTTATCGTTCTCTCTCTCTCTCTCACACACACACACACACACAACATCACACACAACACACACATCACATCCTCTCTCTCTCTCCTCTCCAATCTCTCTCTCCTCTCTGACACACAGCACACCACACCACAGGTGCGCGCGCGCACCTTTCTCTCTCTCTCTCTCTCAGGCACATACACACTCCCTCTCTGTTCTCTCTCTCTCACTCTCTCCGTCACACACACCAACACAAACCGCACATGTCCCACAGGCCCTTCTTCTCCTCTCTCGCTCTCTCTCGTCTCTCTCGTCTCTCTGCTCCTCCCCTCTCATCCTCGCTCTCTCATCTCTCTCCTCTCTCTCTCGCTCCTCCTCTTCTTCTCGTCTCTCTCTCCTCTCTCTCTCTCTCTCTCTCTCTCTCTCTCTCCTCTCTCCTCTCTCTCTCTCTCTCTCTCTCTCTCTCTCTCTCTCATCTCTCTCTCTCCTCTCTCTCTCTTTCTCTCTCTCTCTCTCTCTCTCTCCTCTTCTCCCTCTTCTCCTCCTCCTCTCTCTCTCTCTCTCTCCTCTCTCTCTCTCGTCACTCTCTCTCCTCCTACTCTCCCACCCTCACTCTCTCTCTCTCCTCTCCTCTCTCTCTCTCTCTCTCTCTCATCCTCTCGTCCCCTCCTCTCTCTCGTCTCTCTCTCTCCTCTCCGTCTCCTCTCTCTCTCTCTCCTCTCTCCCTCGGTCTCCTCTCTCTCTCTCTCTCTCTCTCTCTCTCTTCTCTTCCCTCTTTTCTCTTTCTCTTCTCCCTCTTCATCTTCTCTCTCTTCTCTCTCTCTTCTCTTCCCTCTTTTCTCTT